GGCGTCAAGGTTCCGGGGAGTCATGGATCCCAGCGGCAGTTGAGGGGGGTCAATGCCACCACCTCTCTGCTCTTGGGAGGTTTGAGGACAGAGGTCTTCATTAAAACCTCTCATCGCTGTGCCCTCTCCTGCACCTTCTCTGAATTCACACCACTGAACGTGTGCTGGGACGGTGCAGGTGTCGTCTAGCAGGTGTGTGCTGGCAGCTGGAGGGTCCTGGTTAGAATGCACAGAAAGACTGAATCACCGGTTTCGAGTTCTAAAACAAGTGAATAAACCTGGCAGTAGATTATCACACCTGCTTTCAACAGAAATCAACTTGTATCAAGAGTCGATACCAGTTTAGAAATCTGCCTTTTCCAGTAAGGTTTCAAGAAACTTGCCTGTTGGAAATTCTTGAAGAAACTACATAGAAAGTGCAGGTGTGAGGGTTTTTAAAGCAGAGAGTTGAATCTGAGACTGAATTTTAGTTGTACACAAACATGCAGGTTATCTCAGGCATCTGAACAAGTGATGCTGTTGTTTATCTTAGAAGGATAGTCTAATTTGCTCTGGTTTAAGAATGCGACATGACCAAGATGTTAACCGATGTCTGAGGTCTGATTTCACTCAAGCTGGTGGAATCAAACATCCCCCAGCTGCCAAACCTAGGCTCAAAATGTCGATGTTACACACAAGAAGAGGCAAATGCTCCAATGTTTCACATGTTAGCACAACAGTTTAGGCCCACAAACCTCCACAGCACCATGTAACCTTCACCTGAGAACACTTGAAGCTGAGGTGCAGCCATCTTTGATCTGGCATGAAAGGTCAACGGTGCGACGGTGCTGTATGCGTTTTGAGTGTTTCTTTTCAAAACCCTGACAAGAGAGGAGGTTTGATTTGAGAATAGGATCCCGTTGTGGTCCGGCAGGGAAAACACGCTCTCCTAGAGGGGAGTTCATCTTTTCTTGAGGGTTCAAAGCCAAAAAACAGAGAACAAAGCAGCTCTGTGTGTTGAAGCTGGCTGCTTGGTGAGGGTGTGTCTCAGTTTTGACTCCCCCTGTTTCTGCATCATTGGCAAAGACAAGGCTTTGGCAGGGAGTGATCATATTATTTCATCTCTGTGAAAACACAGATATGATGTGTGTGTAAATTTTACCCATGAATCATAAATATCTAATTTTCTCCTCTGACTTGTCAGAGGAGTAATCAGAGTGGAGAAAGTTGAGGTACCTTGTTGAGAGAGGTTCTTTGTGCTGGAGGAACAAAGAGAACAGCATAAAACATTCACCACCTGATGCAACAGTGATTTAAGGTTGTTAATGTTTTTCTCCCCGTGATAGAGAAAATGGATTTGCACCGTGCCAACAAGCCTCCAAAGCCTGATTATTCTTCCTTGTATTTAAGACTCAGTTTATAAATCAACCTTCTCTCTTTGGAGGCTGTGGGTGTGGGGCTGCTTTCTTAACAAGCTGCTTCAACAGGCGGGAAATGCAGCATCATTTTCCACTGCAATTAAGAAGGGGGCCCTGCTGCTGAGGCAGTGCCGGGTGCCAGCTCCGTGTATGGCTCTGGCACCTTCCATCCGTTTTCTGGAAAGACTTAACAGGACCCGGCTGCATGTCTTGGCTCAGGGTTTTGAGCTGGAGTCGGTCTCCACTGACGTAATCCTTTAAGAAACGGCTCTCCTCACTGGCTGCCTCTCCACAACACAAAGGGTGTCTTACTGTGATTATCAGCACAGTTAATAACCCCAACGTGAAGCCAAAGTTACCAGCAAACATCTAAAACCAGGCCGCTCTCCCCTCAGCTCCGCGTCACAGTCTATTTATGCAAAGCATAGCTCGGCCTGTCAGCAGCTAATCACCACAAGGATGATCGATGGTGTTTATTTTCTGATGATGGAACGCAACCCCCTGCCTGATGATAATTGTAATAAAAAGGACAGATCAAGCCGGCAAAGTTATTAAATTATCAGACCATAATTTGCATTAATGCCGGCTGCAGATACATAGGAGTGGGGGGTTGACAGAGCCCCAGCGCCAGCTTGTTAGAGGGAGAGTCCACCTTGAAAAGCTGCCTGTGCCCTTGGCCCCCTGCAGATCCTCGTAAGGCTCAAAAAACCTGAGGCCTGTCACATGACAGCTCGGGTTTCACTGTCAGATTTTCTGCACCAATAAAAACTCTCTGAACACTCTGTAGCTAAGGGTTTACAACGTAATCACAACCTCCCTGTGTGAAGTCCAGCTGGGGACATTTGCTGCTCCCTCTCCCACCCCTCACTTCCTGTCAGCTCTCTACTGTGAACCACAGTCGACAAACTGCTGTTTCTGAAATCAGGAAGCAAGAGCACACAGTTTTATGCCCGTCTGACATTAAGTGGACATTTTCTGTCTTGAGCATCATTTATATGATTTCCCAGAAAGCCAGCCTGACCTTACCGGAGCAGTTTAAACCACTGGCAGGCAAAGTAGAATTTAAAACTTGGCAGGTTTTAATGAATGAACCTCAGATGCTGCTACATGTTAAGGCGTCAGGAGAGGTGCTGAAGTGTCTCTGAGTCACTGGCTCTGGATTCAAGCATGAAGGAAAAGCCAGAATGAAGCAGAGCTGATGAACGACAGCATCTGTCAGGAAACCCCTCCCAGACCTGAACTTGACCCCAGACGGCCCCTTGAACCACCAGATCCAGGTCATGTTCAGTTTTGCCTCAGTTGTTGGTTTGAACGGGTCTCAGAGGGAATGGGAGCTGGAGGGACAAGCTGCAGCTCAGGAGAAAAGAAAATCAAGAGCAGAGAAACAAAGAGGGCAACAGCTGATGGGGCTCTGCTGCTTTTTAACCGCAGCGCACTGGAGGAATACATGAATGTGGTGAATTCCCTGTTTCTCTGAGAACGTCAAACAACACAGGAAATGCTGAGATAATACATCTATTAAGTAGAGTCCCAGTGGAGTGACGCCATGTCACAAATCATCACGTGACTTAATTCATCATCACTTGTTCTCCCACTTAATCTGAAAACCAGTTAAGGAAAAAAATACCAACTCTTGTTTTTCAACGTGGGCAGCCAAACATTGTTCAAAGTTGGATTGTCAATTCTGTTTTTCAAAGAAAACTGAATTTGTCAGGCTCAGTTTGTGGAGAAATGGGTCAAAAGACAGAACGGAGAACCAACATAAGCTGTCTAAGAGGGGTTTTAGGGGGGAAAATCAGGGTCTGAAAGGTTAGAAAATGCTTTTTCAGGTCCACATTTCTAGCTGATGCTGAGATTTTGACTTAATATTCCACTTTAGGGTTGCATTTCCCCAACTAAAGATTTTTTTTTAAATAAACTGAGGCCTCAGTACACCGGGTGAGACTAAAGTTTATGATCCTACTAGAAACATGCTGAAACCGTAGCTTGTCAATCCAAAACGGTGGCTTTATGTGGCATTGAGTCCAGTCTAGTTTAGGCCTGACATGGCAGACATGAGGCTCTGGGAACAAGAATAAGCATCCAGCTGCTCAGCAGTTCTCTCTGGTTTTATCCAGCGTCCGTCCTGAAGCAGCAGTGTTCGAGCTCCTCTCCTCCCCTTCCAGTGTAAACATGAAGAAGAGAAACACCTGCTGGTGTTACGTCACCCTGTGCTCACCCACACACTCACCCTTTTTCCACTGACTGCGTGAAAAAGGCCTGAACAGAGTTCATCTTCATGACTACAATCGACTAACAACAGTCTAAAGTAGTGTGATATAGTGTGACCTTGACATGTGTTGGACCAAATCTCAGTGTAAACCTGTTTACAATCCAGCCAATCAATCCCATCAGTAAGGCTGAAGTTGTTTTTGTTTGTTTGTTTTGATGCATTTTCTATCAGCAGTACACTGGAGCCCCAAAAGGGTTAAATCTGATGCAGACTGAATAGGTTTTGGAAGAATGATGTTCCCCCCTTTACCAAAATGTCTGTGGTGTTCCCTTTATGTGAGCTGTTCCCTTCATTTGCTGCCCAGCCGAAGTTTACAGAGCAAAGTCTCAAGGCTGAATATAAGCTTCATGTTTCTAAAGAGAAAACCCACAAACCGTTGTTCTGTCTTTGTTTAAACCCAGAAGTCGCATGTGCTCTCAAACTGTGCAGGGAGAAATAGCAGCTCCTTGGCCGACTTCGTGAAAACACTGGTATTCAGCAAAACAAACTCTCCAAACAAAAACACGCAAAATAAAACACCCTCAATTATCACAAGCGGCAATTTAGACCAGATGTAAGTGGGATTTGTTTGAGCAGCGTTTCATGAAAGACCTGCACTGGCCAATCAGGGCAGAGCGAGATCTCTGATGAGCAGGGGTCACAGCAGATCTGTGGGTTAGACAACCCAATAAATCCATCTTTGTCTTCCCTGGGGGAAGCTAGCTTTTATTTCCCCTTAAGTAAGACCTTAATCAGCCTGAGGTTGTGTAGAGCTCACAGGATGAGCAGACATCAGTTAAAACGGTCAGAACTGCTTAGAGGAAACATCTGGGCAGCTGTGCAGGCATCTATGCATTTTAAACTGGATTAACATCCATCTAAAGACACAAATGCTTTTTTCCCCTGAGGTTCAAGGTGGATGGCATTTTTTAACTTAATTTAAGTCTGTGTAAAGCAGCTGCACTCAATGTCCACTTACACTTTGTTCTGGAGCTTTTGACCATGTGACAGTATTAACAGGTTTGTTCAGCTGTCACATGTTCAAACATCATTCTGAACTCTAATGACTTCCTCTCAACAAAAAGTTTGTCATTCCAGGTTCGTGTTGATGCCAGACTGGTTGAAGACCTTGTGATATGGGCGAAAGCTCCAGAACAAGCGGATGCTGATTTGAAACAACCCTAACAGTGAAAGAACCTTTACTGTCCTGCCCAGGCAGTTTAAGTGATAGATGAAGTTTCTGGGAAGTGTAGTACCACTGACCACTTTTAAAAAGGCCTGGATCTGCACTGCTCTAACCTGCCCCTCCTCCATATTAACTTCTTGTTCAACAGGTAAATGTTGTCACTCACTGCCAGTAGCTCTGACGCTCCCTCTGCTGTCACCAGCTGGAACAACATCCCTGTGGCACGACTCGGATGAGCCACTGAAAAACAGGAAAGAAGAAAATCAGCAATTTCTCTTTTGTTTAGCTGATTTTTTTTATGATAATTTGAGGGATTCGTTTGTCATTTTGTTACCAGCTTTTCAGTGTAACTTTAGAAGAAAGGAAATTAACAAAGAATATATTTCTCTGCAGCAACAACAGTTTTACACCTTTATTTCTCCTCATATAAAGATCATCAGCTTGCTGCAGTTCTCTACTGAAACTATATCGTTTTTACTGAATGAGAGATTCAAACCAAGACTGCACCATGTCTTGCATTTTATTTTAGACATATTTCACCATAGCTCAGTCTCACACATTTGGCATCTTTGGATCTCTAATTGAATTTAAAATAAGATGATGTGGGTTTGAACAATGTTAGGGTGCAACAACGACACCTGAGTCGTCCAGAGAATCAGCACTAAAGGCTGAGGAAAAGCATGGCTGTGCTGTCCTCTGGGGCTTTCTTTTGCATTTGTTTGGCTCATTTGGCTGATTTGGTTTATTAAATTAAGCCAGAAATTTTTTCTTTTTTTTTTTGATAAGTGGTGACAGCATTAAAGCAGGAGGAAGAACATCCATATGAAACCCTAGGATTAAAAACCTGTTAAACCACAGTAAACAGACTTGGTGTGTTGCTGCAGTGTGGCTGAATTCCGCTCTGTTAAATAATCATGATGAATAATGAAGGTGTGCGTCGGCCTGGCAGATCTCCCCTCCTGGGCAGACATTTAGTGTCAACCTGGCAGGTCTCAGCGCAGCTCAGGGACGACGGGGGGATGAAGTTGTCTCCATATTAAGCAGGGAAATTAGACCTGTTAAATGGAGGGCAGCATGGAGAGGCGCTGTGCGTGGACCTCCAGGGTCTACATCTCATCAGGTGAGGCCGGCCCGAGCTGCAGGGGCGGGGGGAGGGGAGAACGTGACCCGGCCTCTGGCCCGCCTCCACCACACCTCACGCGCTCTGCATGCGCAAACTTGAACTGACCCTGTGCTTCTGCCAGCCTTCACCGCAGCTAAGCCCAGCCCTTCCCATCATGCACTGGGCCCGCAATGAGCTCCCATGAGCCTCGGCTCGCTCCCTGCCATCTGCCGTGATTTATAGAAATCGGCCAATGATTTATGGGCCAGTCATCTCACAATGAAGTTGTTCTCTTTCATTTGTGTGACCTCCCGACCCAGCCGCCACTCCCAGCCAGGTTGGGGAAACGCGCGCTAATCATACACTATGAGGGCCTTTAAACGGGTGGAGGGGGCTGCAAATGGAGGGCCTTTAATGAAATTAATTTTCAACAGTGTGCGCATACTGATGAAACAGGCAGGCCTTGGCGATGATGCACAGCCACCGCTGAGAGAGGAGGACTCATCCTGCAGCAGCACAGGTCCCCCCTGTCCCCCCGCCTTGATCTGCAGATGAAACGCCCCATTAGGAGCCAGTGATCCAGGGGATGTGTTTAAAGATTTATACAGTGTTGGAGTGGAGCTTGTAAGCCAACAGCGTGGCCCTGCAGACTGATCATCTGTAATCACCAACATGGCCTAAGTAGATCAGTGGAGCTGTGCAGGGACACGTGAGCACCACCATCTCTGCTTCCTTCTCACCCCTGTTTCTCAGTACTGCACCTGAACTGGGTTTTTAATGCTTTTAACAAAACAGTTTACTTAAATCTGCTGAAATCTGATGGCTGGCTTTATTTATGTTTTTATAAAGTGTGTTTCAGATCTTTTTCTTACTTCTTCCCCCATAAATCATCTCAGGACCCCTCAGATTAATCTAATGACCCTTTAAGGGGGTCTGACCCCTCGTGTGGGAACAACTGGACTAAACTGTATAAGAAATAGTTCAAAATAGCTCCACTTCGAGCAGCGTTAACAGGAAAATCCTG